GTACTTATCTGATAGGCACAAATTCATTGCTGACATGACATTGAACTGACAACATTGGAATAAATTTGAATTGGTATCCATTGCCTTAATGGAGATGCATTATATTTACCTGATAGGAATATTGGAAGAGTACTTCTTTCACAGTATTGTTAAGCAAATAAAAGTTTTGCTTATGACAAAGGTATACTAGCCTATCCAAACAAATTCTAATATTCTATGCAAAATGATTTAATTCTTTTCCTCCCAGCCCAAATTTAGGTTAACAAAGCAACAAGAGACCATGATAATGCAAGTAAGTGCAGGCTTTCCTCTGTCAATTGAATCGACATCTTCAAAAGCTTCTTTATCTCATAAAGCTTAGATACAAATTATCTTCCTTAAAAATAGTTATGGTGACAGTAATACAGTATAGCACACAGTAGTTATCACACTGCAATACAGTAAACTAATGAACTGATCACTTCAGACTTCCTTCTGTATGAAACGACTATCAGTTACACCTGGTAAGGTGGGGATTGAATGGGTACTGAGAAGGTTTAGACTGTGAAAGGACACACTAACTACATGAGAAAAGAGCACAACTTTGCAGTGGTTACTGACCATATTGCTTAAGTCATGATTTCATTCCTATATCTAGCTGCAAAGGAGGAGCAGCTCTCACCCCTCTACTTGGGCCTGCAGGCCAGCAATAGCATAGGAAGCCTTTAGTAACACTATATGATCTTGTTCCAATTTGTGAATATTTATGAAAAAATTGGTTTTATTTCCTGGATGACCACATTAACTTAGTTGTCCAGCAGATATAAATTTTCACTTTCCTTCAACTTATGCTTCTTAACCTAACAGCCTTCATATAGTGGAAACGTGTTTTTTTTTTTTTTTTAAATTTTTTATTTACTGGTTTGGTGGCTGCTCAACAAAAATGCTTTTCCAAACTGCTGAAGTTCTGGAACTCCCTTTTTCTTAAACAGAGGCGGACAGCAGATGGGAACTTGAAGAGATTATTTGGAAAAAACCTCCAAGATTTGATTACTAAAGAGATAAAGACACTGAAATTATATTTCGTGTGGTTAAAAATAGAAGTGCCCATATCTTAAAGCTGTTCAAAAATATGCCTGAAGCAAAGGGGCCCGATTAAGCTTAAGTGTAATTGACTGTTGTCTATGGATACCATTGGTGTTATGGTATCTGCTTACATCAGTACTGAATTTTACCCAAAGCATGTTTGGAGTGATGAGGACTATAAAATGTTATTGTATATGAAATGCTACTTTATGTCAATATCATACTGCTACAGCTTGTAAATTCACATTGATCTGTATAACAAAAGATGCTTACAGCAGTAATGAACTCAGTCAAGCATGTATTTGCTGATATATAAAAAAGTAACAAGTCATCTTGCTGGGTATTTGATTTCTAAGAGATAATCCCAGACAGTACTTTGAAGATTAGAGAGGTAGGAGATAAGAAGCTGTGACAGGCTGGCAGTATCTGTGTGAAACACAATCCCCTATTACCAGGTGTTGGTGCTGCTGGGAAGCTGGTGCATGGATTTTGCTAACTCACATTGAGCAGATGGCTTATAAAAGAAATGGGTGTTGCTTTTTGAAGCAAAATATATCTATGGGCTGAGAAGTTTTGTAGTGAGAATCCTGAGGGAATATAAAGTATAGGGAAGGAACTCGAGCTGAACCTTGTTTCTTCATTGGTAATGTTTTCTAGTCAGACACTAGGAAGTGGGTTGGTTTTGACAGCACAGACTCTGTTTGGACATATTTTTATAGCAAAGGGGAAAATGCACCTGTTCAGGAAAGCATAATTAACTACTTAGTAAATATGAATGAATGATGAAACAAGTTGAATGTTGTGCAAACAGAAGAAAATACACTTGGAATGGCTAAGTTTTCTATTATATACCTACATGCTAGTTCAAAAGCTTTGAAACAGAGCCTCATGATTGTTACTTTTAATGCTTTGAAACTCTGTCTTTTTAGCATTTCCCAGCACTAATAGTTGCATGATGACACAACCCATTTCAACAGCAGATGCAAAATACAACTTCAGGTTTTCTGGACAGTACCAGACTGCATCCTACTGCAGCTCTGTAAACTGATGGTTGAGTGGACAGGAGAAATAGGTCTGCATTACAAAGTGTATTTAGTGAGTTTGTTCAAAGACCAATATTCTTTAGAGAATTTAATTATCATCTTTGTAATTTGAGGAAATGATATTTACTGACTTTGAGATAGTTTACATATATGTATCATTACAGCGCTCATAATCATTCAGGGAGTATGTTACTAATAACGGGAAAGGCGAAATAAGAACTATGCTCAAATAATCAACCCTTCTCTGAAGGATAAGATTGATCTGATTGCCTCCATTGTTTTTCTACTATAACAATTAAAAGTCATAAAGGTACCCAGGACCCCTGGATGGAAAAACAGGAAAAACACCTAAGAAAATTAATAGAAATATGTAGATTTCTGAGAAAACACATTAATATTGTGTCTGGTTTTGTTTTGCCTATGCTTGTTTATTTTTGAAATTCACAAAGATGATCTTAATGTCATAAAGGGTATTTTTATTGCTAGTTGTACTTGCAATAATTATTTAGGCACATCTGTTGTCTTAAGTGTATCAATGTTCAATAGTTAAACTAGCTCAATATTAAAAATAAACTCTATTTAATGCTCTTAATCAAGCATCTGTATATTTAATACCCTGTTTTGTTTTCTTACTAAATTTTGTTAACTCTAAGGTTTCAATATGGAGGTAGCGAGTACTGTTCACTTTCAGAGTGATTCAGAATGCAGATCACGTTAAAAAAAGTAAATCTGATCTGCTTCTGGGAAACAACAACTAAAAGCACATTCTGGAAGAGATTAATGCCTCCTGCCTCCCAGGAATGGAGATGAGAAAAAGCATTTATGCTGTCAGGCTCTGGTCTTTGCTGGGAGGCTGTGTCATAGGTTGTGATTTCCCAGCTGAGACCAGCATCCGTTTGTATGAACACTCCGCTGGTGAGGGGAAGCATTAGCTGTGCCTTGGAAGTCAGGCTGTTAGGAAAAGCCTCCCAGGAGCAAAGCAGGGCACAGTTGTGTTGCCCAGTGCCATGTCTGCCTGTGAGGTGTAAAGCAACAGCTGGGTACAGTCTCTTGTCATAAACTCTCTGCTGTGATTTGCTGCTCCTCCCACTACATAACAATTCACACAGCAGAGAGGTGCTCCCAGACTTTGTGGTGTAGAGATGTGGTTTAGGGTATGGAATGCAAACACAGCTAAAACAAAGCAAGCTTTCATTTGGGGATAACATGTAATGCATGTAAACATTGTAAATGGTTTCATCTGCAGTCAGTGGCAATGTTCCAAGTGTCTCACGGAAAGAAAATCAAACCTTTCCCCACGAGCATCTTCTAACACAGCTTTCTCACACCTGTGAGAAAAAGAATACTTACAGGGGGACCAGCTCAGATCCCATTGCCTCTGCTTTAGCATGGGATTTCTTTTATTAAAATTTAGATCTGTTCCTACAAACATAAATGTGAATTTCCATGATATTACATGTTTGTGGGCAGAAATTATACCTGCTTTTTTTTTTTTTTTGACAGGCCTAACAAAGGATTATGTGGTAAATAAATTAAAATTTCTGTGGATCAGTAAAAAACACAACGTAAACTGCAATCAGACCCAATGAAAAAGACTATGTCTGTAAAAAGTAAGAAATTCTTCAACTTTACAAGCTACAAATCTGTACCACACATGAGAAAACAGTCTGACATCTATCTAGGATCCCCTAAAGGATTTTTCATGTGGCCTTCTGTTTTCAACAATCATTCTAGTAGCTGCAAGAACCCCACAATTTGTTCCTATTAAAATATCAGTTTACCTTGCAAAGTGTTAAATTAGAACAAAACCCCATAATGCTTATTAAGTTGCAATTAAATTTTCAAAAACTTGTTTCACATCATTTAACATTGTTAACTTCCTCTGTTCCAGTTCTTTCTGACCAAGAAAAAGAAAACGTTAAACTAAGGCTGCAGAATATATATTTATTTCTAACTGCTTTAGAAAGGTAGTTGTAGAGATTCTCATGGAAGGCCTATTTTAGCCAAGAGATTGTGGAGAAAAGGTTAGACAGAAATCAATTTTAAAGGTATGTAGTAGTGAGGAATGTAATAGTATGAATAAAACAAGTTACTTAATTGATAAAACAGAAGAAACCCCAAACATTAGCAACCAGAATAAGTCAATAAAAGATTATGGCTAGTTCCACAGCAAACATAAATCAGCCTAAATCCAATGCCACAGGATTTCCACTGCTTGTGAATCTGGCTCCTAACCTTGATAAATAGACAAAGAGGATGCTACGTAACCTATTGAGATAATGGATAAAATTTCATTTGGGCTTTCATTTATTCTTTTAAAAAAGGATATATTTTTTTTTAAGTTTCTTATTCTGTTGATAATATTCCTTAGTATCTTTATTTGACAAATGTTTCTGTGTTTTTTTTTTTTTAATTATTTTTTATTTTTAATGCATGTATCTGATTAGGTCATGTGCCTTACGGTAGGATGAAAGTATTTCAGGGAAAGACAGGGATGGCTCTTCCAAGGTGGCAAACAGCCGTTATGCATACAGGAGGAAAACCACTGATTGTGAGACCGGACGGGAAAAGGGGAAAAACCAGCCTTGAACAGGCGTATAAACCACCAGGGACTGCCGGGTTTCAGCGGGTGCCGGCGGGGCCCGGGGCAGGCTCCTCGCACCTCACGGCGATGCCCGCTCGGGGCGCCCAGGCCGAGGCCCGGCGGGGACTGCCCGGCCCGCGCCCCCCGCGGCCGGGCGCCCCAGGCTCGCCCCGTCAGCCGGAGCCAGGCCCGGGGGGGCGGCTCCGAGGGGCCGCAGGGCGGCGGCCGCCGCCGGTGCTGCGGGGAGCGCGCCCCGCGCCACTGCCCGGCCGTTGCTAGGGCCTCCGCGCGCGTCCGCGGGCGGGCGGGCAGCGCGGGCCGCTCCCACCGCGCGCGGCGGGGGGGTGGGAGAACACCGGCGGCTGGCGGGGGCTGGCCCCCGCCCCCGGCGCCGCCCGCCCCGCTCCCCCGGCACCGCCCGCCTCTCCTCGGCCGCTCTCCTCGCGCGTACTTGCGTGGAGGGGCCCGTCCCCTCCAAGCCGCCCCGCCTGGCCGGCCACGGGCGGTGCCCCCGCGCGGGGAATGGTTTCTCCCAGCTCCCCGCTGTAACCTCCCGCTCCTCCTCCCGCTAGTGCCCGGCTCGGCAGGCGCCGCTTCGGGTGCTGCCGCCCGGGAGAGCCCGGCTGCGCCGCCCGTCAGGCGCGGCGCGCTCCGCCCGGCCGAGGATCGGAGCGCTCGACGGCCTCCCACCCTCCGCCCCGACAGGTAACGGTGAGGCGCTCGCCCTCTCCGCTCCGCGCTTCGCCTCCCCGCGCCTGCGGGGGACCCGCTGCCGGCCGCGGGAGGCGCGGGGGGGCCGTCCCCGGGAAGAGGCGGCGGAGCGGCTGCCCGCCGTGATTCAGCATAGCCGCCCGCGAAGGAGGGGCTGCGGGGAAGGGCAGCCCGGCCCCGGCGTAGGGACTGCGGGTGCCGGGCAGCCGCGGGGCGCGGGTCCCGTCCCTAGCCGTGCCGGAGCGGGCTCTGTCGCCGGCTCGGGGAGATGTTCCGGGGCGGGAGTGCGGGGAAGGGCCGCCAGCTCCCGCCGGTCCTCGGGCTGCAGAGAAGTGCCGGCCGCAGGGCCGGAGCCCGGTCCCTCAGCCGGGCCCCGGCCCCTCGGGAAGTTTCCTGAACGCCGCGGGCAGCCCTCGGGCGGGAAGGGGAGGATAACTGCGGGCGTGTCGCAGGGTGAGGAAGAAGGAACAAGGAGGTGTTTCGGGATTAAAGGTGTTAATTTTCACGCTCACCCCGCGATTTCGCATGCGAAGTTGATCGTCTGTGCAGGTCGTATCGCATGTGCGGCCAGGTCTCTTCACAGCCAGTTAAGGTTAAAACGGTATCGTCTGTTGGCAGTGGTACCCAGTGGAGGATAAAATGTAGAACAAGTTAAATCTCTGGAGATGCAAGTCAAATATCTTCCTGTGCTTTCTGCTCTTAGTGGAAAGCCCATAGTCTGTGGGGTCTTTTTGAATTTCTGCTATTGAAACCATACATAATTGTAAGCAAAAGGGAAAAGAAACTGACGCTGAAATTTGCACATAGTACTGAACCCTGGGAAATGGATGTAAGGTCTCAGTATCGATGGCTTTTGTGGCTGCCTTATGTATTCGAATTTTGGTACTCAAACTGCAATTTTATTCCTTCTCAAAAACCCCTTAAACAAACCAAGCAACAGCCCCCTCCTCTCCCTCCCTTCCCTGCCCCCCCCCCCCCCCCCCCCCCCCGGTTTAGTATACTTTTCTGCCTAAATCCTTCATTGATTTTATGTGCCAAGGGGTTAGTATCTATCTAAATAATGCTCCCAGAAGTCCTGCTGGTTGTTTTCACAATTGCAAGACTAGAAGCACTTTTCTGTGTGGGAATTGACTGTTCCCCAAATTCTAGAGTATCTCAAAATATACAGTGACTTAGCATCAATAGCTAGCTGCTTTTGCCCCTGTTTTAAATACTAGGATGTAGTTTTTAATAGAAATGGGATATGTGTCAATGCTACTTTGAATAAAAAATGACAGAGGCAGTTATTATGCCAGGGTTTTTCCTACATGGTGGGTAAATATAATGTCTGCACTGACATATGGAAGTATTATTTCTGAAGCCAGATTCTCTGAAGACAAATGTTACAAAGTTTCAGAAAATTACATGGGCTGTTTTACCCAGAATGTGGAATTTCTTTCATAAGGAAAGAATGTATTTTTAGCTGTAGGTATCAGCAATATTATGCAAGAAAGTCTGGAACAATGATTGTCAATTTATATATATATATATATACAATATTATTATTTTTTTTTTTTTTAGAAAAACACCCCCTTTCTATGTTTCTGATGGTTTGGATACATTCCACGTACTTCCAAAGGGGTCTGCCTGCCAATTTGGGAATATTAGAAGAGGCCAGGACATGAAGCCTGTCAGCAGTTATTAGGTAAATATTCCAGTAATCTATCAATCATTTTAGTAACCTGAGGCTCAGGTTTGCAGTCAGATAAGTTGCAGTCAGTTCACATGCTCTTCCAAAACTGACAGTGTGTTAAATTGGCAGTGTAGATTAAGTTGTAGACAAATCTGTAGAAGTGAGAGATGAATTGGTTAACAAGCAGTTAGACACTAAACCATCTTGCAGTCTTTTGTACAGTTAGGACTTTTTCTAAGATCTTTGAAATACTCTATGTTGATAATAAAAGACATAAATTTATTTTTGAAGGTGAAATGTAGCAGACTAATGCTGAATGCTGAATGTGCTTGCTCTGAATTGTCAGCATCAAGAAAGACTGAAATATGATTTCTTAATTTGAATCTCCATCTGTGGTTATTTATTATAAGTGTTAAAAGTCTCTGTAGGATACATATGGCAAATGAGTCATTTCTTGAACTTCCACATTTTCTAAGGTTCTGGGATTTTTTTTTTTTTCTTCCCTATGTTTTAATGTTGTATTAAGGAGTATTTTTGCATTTAATAGGTACTTGCAGATGTCTCGTATGAATTAAGAACATTATTAAGAATGGAAATCTTTAGAAAACCAAGAGAATTGAAATAGAGAAATTGGTAACACTTCCCAAGCTACCTTACATCTACTTCTATAGAACTTCTGTCTTAATGCACATGGCAACATGTTGCAAGATAATTTTTTGATATGTGAGTCACTAATGCTTTTCAGTTTTTTGATATCATTTTATCAGTGTAAAGACAGCTTATTGAAACCAACAATGCTTATTTCTTTTATCTATAAGTTTCTACAAATCTTCAGAAAATTCTGAGTGTTATTACTACCTTTTGGGCCAAACCTAAGTGTCAATAGGCTTTATATCAGTCCCTGAAGAAAAAGATGATGGCTTGTCAGTCTTTTACTTTTTGGTAAGGTATTTCCATTATCCAGAGTTGACACTGACACTATAATGATCTGAGGGGGGAGGGAATAGTCGTATTTTCCCAGAAGAGGGCTGGAGTCTTCATGAAGATAGAGTTTGTTTGTTTTATTTGGAAAGATGCATATAAATTGTCAAAGTTAGGAAAATTCATTGCAAGTGCCATAGTATATGTATTGGAGGATATTAGCTGGGTTATGTTCTTCCCTTGTGAACTTCAGTATATTTAGCCTCAGATTCACTTTTATTTTCTACACATCTAGGAAACTATTTGGGGCCATTTGACTTCTGGCAGTAGGATTCAAATGTCCCTTATTAAGACAAGAAACTCATTAAAGCACCATTAATGCTTGCCTAAAACCTTGCCAGAACTCTTGCAACTACTCCTTTTGCAGACATTACGAGCTTCCTTTAAAGCTTACTGGAACCAATGAACCTTTTAAATATTAATATTTAAAGTACTAATGTATTTTAAATTTAGAATGGAATTTATTGATGTCTACTACACTGATGGGTCAGAGAATCATCTGTAATTGAGAATGGGTACAGGAGAAAAAAATGCTGTGACATACTGAAGTGGTCAACCTTTGAGTCTCTTGAGTATTAGAGCAAATCTTCCTGTTCTGCTGTAGCACCCCTCTTGGAACCAGAAGCTCTTTCAGATCAGGAGGTTCCATAGTGCCTCAGTCAACTGGATACTCTTCTTTGTGGTGGTGGGTGCAGGAACCTACAGGTTCTGTAGAGGGTAAAGTCTTAGCTTTTTGCTTGTTCCCAATGTTCTTCCTTCCCTTCTCTCTTAAATGCTCATACAGCTGTACAAAATAGTTTTAAAATACTACCACATTAATTTATACTCATTCATTGACATTTTTGCCCTTGCCCTGAATTCCATGCACCAGGAAACAAGCTCTAACATAATGGTGTAAATTTTTGGTTTTGTGTTTTAAAGGACGAAATCAGGCATAACGGTTCTTGACTTCAAAATCGGTTTTAAACAGAATACAAGGTCTCCAAAATGAAGAACAGTGTATACAGTTTTAATATTTCTTTTACCAGTGTTAAAAATATAACTAAAATAGTTAAAAATTAGCATTAATAATGAAAGAAATACAAAAGAAAACAGCATTCTGATTTAGGACTCACTTTTCACTTTCCGTTCTGTGGAGTGAGTGGCATGACAATTCTCATTTACGCTTCTGTTTGGTTTTGGAAGGATTCCAGATTGAAGTCTGATATGCACCACTGCTCAAATGCACCTTAGATGGCTACATTACAGCTAATTGATAGAAAAACTGATTGCCTATAAGGATAAAAGTGCTTTGTGCTGCAGTTCAGAAGCTGTTTCTGGCCAACAGTAGTAACAGAGTACTAACAGTCACTCTTAAGAAGAAAGAAAGACTAAATCTACTTTTCATATGTGATAAATGCTACAGAAAGAATTGACTGGGGCGTGGGCTTCACAGTTAGACACAGAGATGTGTTGACAAGTTTATTTTCATCCTTGCTTAGTAGCAAAATGCTAAATATATTCTTCTTTGGTTACATTAAAATATGTTTCCTTCCAACCTTGTCCTTGGGTTGACATGTGTTTGTTTTATTTTTAGCACTTGAAAACCAGCACAGTAATATCCCTACAGGGTGCAGTGGAAGCACTGGAGTAGAGCATGAGAAAATGAAATCAGATGATTAATACTGAATTTATGCAGGTGAAGAGGCAATGATTTAGATACTGCTTATGAACACAAAAAGAGTGGACTGACAGGGCACAAGATTGTGAGATTTGACAGGGAAGTTGCTCTTATTTGCTTGTTCAGAATGGACTTCTTGAAAAATACAGAATAGAACTATGTGATGGAAGTTTGTATTTTCTGTGCTTTTGTGGGTGTTTGTCATGTGTTTAGTGTTCATAGAACATGAAATTTCTGTGAATTTGTTACATTGTTTTATCCTCCCAAGCTTATCTTGGCATGGGGGATGGGAGAACTGTGCTAAAACACTTTATATGAATTATTGATGGAAGAGATCTGTAAGATGTGCAATTTATTCACCCAGGAAAAAAAAAACCCTTTTTATTAAATTTTATTTCATGAGGTTTTTTAGAGGGATGTAACATTATCCTAAATTTTTATATTTATGTCAACCTGAAACCTTTAAAGGTCTATAAATTACTAGTGTGAATTAACAATTAGGCATTAATTTGAATAAAAGATTTTTTGCTTAAAAATGAACAAGAGTGATGTGAGAACATAACTTTGGTACATTTTGTACCATTTTTAAAATGGAAGCATATACTGAAAAGAATGTTTCTGAGGATGGAGAGGGTATATTTGGTAAGTAAAATGAAGCATCACTGTATGATGAGACAGGAATCAGTGCTGTTTTGGACTGTTGCAAGATCTTTAGTAGAGTTGGGAATCTTGTAGGATATTGACTCAGAGCAGCATTCATAAGTGAAGGAATAGAAGAAAAATAAGGGAACAATACAGAGTTAGATTTGAAATTCTGGACACCAGTTGAGAAATGATGCAGTTAATGACCCCAAGCTGTTGCTTAAAAAAAGCCTATATATTTCCTCTGTTTCCTATAGGTAGGAAGAGAAAATGAAAGGACATTGTGGCCTTTCCGCCAAAAGTAACACTCAGGAATACAAACACATACAGGGAGCAAGTCTTTGATATTTTCTGAGAAATCATTATTTCTTGAGAAATAAATGTGCTTGCAATATTGTCTGTGGGATTTCATTGTAGTGTTTTTCCTTACTGATTTGTGTAAAAGGAAGAACCATACTACTTATGAACTGGGGAAAATGGCAACTAACTGGTAGAGCTGTTGACTTTTCAGAACCTTATTTCTTTGTTCTTATGGTGCAGATATGCTCATTTGTTTGATTTTCTATTTAACTTGAGCGGGACATTCTCTGTGGTTCAGAGAGAGCACATACTCTTACAATTTGTAAACTAAGGGAGGAGGAAGTAAGAGGAAATTTCTTTTATGTATATTGTAGTCTTTGCACATTCAGCTCCCAGCTTCATTCTTTCTACCTGATTCCTGAAGGATGGCAGTACAGCTGGTAGGACTACAAACACTTTATGTGAATGTATCCTTCTCCATCTCACTAGAATCTGACTCTCCAGATATTCTCAATACTTTTTCTTTGTGGGACAGGTCTGACAGTGGTGGTGCAGTTGGTCTTGTCTGGCCCATGCAATGGGCCTGACTGCTGTAAAACTGACACACAAGAGAATGGAGTAGTTTCCTCCAGAGTTGTTTTTTTTTTTTTTTTTTTTTTTTTTTCCCCCCCTCCTGTGAGGAGAAATAACCCATTTGAACAAAATAATTTTTAATAATTTTGCAAACTATTTATTGTCAGATGGCCTCCATGGTCCACAGTCCATGCTTATTAAAATGTACTGAGCTGTCAGATCAGACCAATCTTTTCTTAATGAAAAAGAAAAATAAGATGACAAAGAAAAGTCATCTTGTCAAATGATGTCAGAAAACAATTTCTCATTGATATGATTGACATAGTAAAATAAAACAACCAAGTTTAAGAATTGTGAATGGTTTCAAACTACAGAAAGAATTATCCCAGGAAAGGAACTAACATTTCACTTTCCATCACTTAAGATTTGATTTGGTTTAAAAATTGGTCTATAAGGTTGTAATCCTGGCCTTACTGCAATCAAGTTAGTTTGATTTCAGAACCTGAATTCAAAGGCTGGAAGAGAATCATAACCATTTTTATTATAGCAAATTATGAACTATTCATCTTCTTTAGCTTATTTCTCTGCTACTATTATATGTTGCTGTCATCCTGACCACTTGTTGTGGTTTGGGCCTGATCGGCAACCCCCGCAGCTAATCACCCTCCCTTCCCCCTCCCCGCCTGGGAATGGGGGAGGGAAGTAGAGGGGTGAAGGGAGACTCGCAGGCTGAGATAGGAACAGTTTAATAATGGCAATAAAACGAGAACAATAACGATGCTAGGGGGAAAACAAAAAGAAATATATAAACAGGCAATGTACAGCGTAATTGCTCACCACCCACTAACCAATCCCCAGCCCGTTCCCGGCCAGCGACCCCGAGATACCAAGATCCCGCAATCGCAATCCCGGAAGCGAGAGAGAGAGAGAGAGAGCTCCTTCCCAACCATCCCTCCTGTATATAGTGAGCATGACGTTCCATAATATGGAATATTTCACTGGCCAGTTAGGGTCAGGTGCTGTGGCCGTGCTCCCTCCCTGCTCCCTGTGCCCTTGCGCACGGGCAGGACGTGGGGAGTCGGAGAGTCCTTGAAGCCTCGGTAGCAGCTGAAAACATCAGTGTACTATCAGCATTTTTCCCATACCAAACCCAAAGCTAAATCCAAAACACAGCACTCATCTAATCCCTGAAAAGGAATATTAACTCTATTTCAGCCCAAACCAAGACACCACTTAATTCTACATTTGGAGAAATCGTTGTTCTGGTTACAGTACCTCATGTCTCTGGTATAACTCCTTCCCAGTCACTGAGTCATTTTCTGTTTTTAGATTTTACTTCTCTTTATCATTATGGCTAAATCCTACTGACTTTCTGCCCACAGCTCTTGTCACACTCTAAGTGGGAAATGATGCATTATTTTCTTATAACATGTATCATGCCTTTCTCTTTTCACCCAACACACAGGGAGAAAATACCTAGAAGGGGTTAAGAAAGAGATCTAAAAAGTACCAGGGATAGGATAAATGGGAAGGAGCTGCTGCAGTGGCATGTCTCTCCCTGGTGTACCAGCACTGTCTGAAACTGTATCAGCTGTCAATTACTGATAGAAAAATCTCTTTCCAGAGGGCTGAATCTTCATATAATTTCAGCAATGCAACACTAGTGGTAAGTGATTTCATTTTGCTACTTCTACTGAAGAATTATTTTAAATCTGTTTCTGTATCAGTAGGAGGTCCTGGTATGACTGTTTATTCTGCAGTATGTAATCTTGTCAGTTAAATACATTATAAATAAACATTTTGCACTCTTATCAGTAATTTGTATGCAGAAGAATTTGGTATATCATCCTGCCACATGGTGCTACTAAGTTGTGTTTTTTTTTTTTTCCTTCCCCTACCATTGCTCTCTATTGTAGACTGTTAATTGAAGTACATTGTCTTTAGTTTGAATACTTATGCGTTCTATCCACCACATAAATTTTGGAATGAGTTATTTTTTTAGGGTTCTTGCAACTTTTCTCCATTTTTATGCTCTTTCTGATCCATTCTTGATCTCCCAGTTTATCTTTCATTATAATAGAGAAATGGATTCAGGAGCATCTTCTGAATACAGTAAGTCTAGATCCATTAGTTAGACAAAATATGCTTTTGGAGAACAGCATGAAGGTTTTTCTGTAGTGATATATGTATACATCACCTGCACAGTAATTTCTGTTTCTGAACCTGTGAATCCTACGTAAGCTATAAAATATGAAGCACTGTGTCTAGACAGCCAAGCAGTTCTGAAAGTGATTCTTGAATCTTATAATCCTTGTCAAGAAATAGAGAAGTTCAGAGGCAAGTCAGTAATCTCTACTGTGACAAAGGTTTGATTTAGATGGACTGTAGTTTTTGACCTGGATGAGATATGGGTTGGTCTTGTTACCAAATCTGTCTTAATTATATTCTTGAACTGTGCCACCAGAAGGATTGTTGTGGAACTGAAACACTATGATATAAACTTCACAAAAGTCAACAGGAATGTCTATTTTTACTTCACTGGGCTACAGAGCATATCTTATTACGTATGGCTTGATCTCACTTACACTGTAGACTTGAGACAAATGTACTTTGTGTACATTTCTTCCAAATGGTGGAACTGGGAAATTTCCTGGAGAAAAGCTCTTTCTTGCTTTGAGCAATCTAAGGAGCATAAACAATTGGGAAGAATTTTCATGTTTTTGAAATAATATTGAGAGTTCTGTAACAATAACCAACTATGAATCCCAGTTTATTCTCTATTTCTTTCTGTTTGGTTTATCAATGGACTTCTTCATTCTCATTTGTACTAACACTTTGCATTAAACATTTACTGAAAGATTTATTCTTCCGGTGAATAGGTGTGTTGTAACTTTTCCATACCTTTGAATTTATAAATGCATTTGGCTCAGTTTGGTGCATTTCTTTTTTCCTTATCTGTGGTTATCAGATAAATATAATACTCCCTGGCTACAAAAAATTCTTCTGTAGTATGGAGGGTGTGATATGTCTGTGAGTCAGAAGCACAAAACAATAAACATTGTAATTTTCAGCCTAAGTTAATATGATGATTAAAAAAAGGACTATGTGGATCAGTTCTCAGTCATGTTTCATTTTGGGTGTTGGTGGTGTGTGTTGCTATAACATAATAAGAAATTAATGTATTTGTTTCTTTTGAATATTTGAAAACCAGTTAACTTTGCTGCCAGCATGTATTTGAGTGTATAAGTTTATGCCTTTCTGCTTCACTAAGAATGCACACTTTAAAAATATAAGATTAAGCAAGTGAAAACTCAAACTGAGCACTGCTAAATTAATTGAATATCACACTGCTTTAGCCTCTGGCTGAGGACTTTTATTTCAGTACATTTCTCAAGGATAGCTCTTAACCAACACACAATGGCTTTTTTTCTTTTTTGTTTTTTTTAACCCAGAGTAACCAACCAAACACACACTCCAGAGCCAATTGCTTTTAGGTGTTACTTTTTGGGAGTTGACTATGATGGATGAGAACAGGACTAACTGTGATATTGTTCTGAACTTGGAACTGTGCAGCTGCTGTGATTAAAGTAATAAAGGCAAATAGGTGTGCTTAGGGCAGTTATCTCCTCAGATTTTGGAGTTATTTTAAACTACGTTAAAAGCTACTATGCTAATGTCACTATGGTCTCTGTTGCTCAGAGGCAATGTATGATTACTTAATAAATAAACTGTTTAATACTACAGGGTTGGAGCAGTAATGCTGTACTTATCATTCAGAAAGTACATTATTCTGATCCCGTGACTTCAAGTGTAGCCTGGTATATTAGTTTTGGTAGGTTATTCTCATGCTTTGTTCTTTTAAGCAAAAAGTAGAGCTAGTGAGTATGAAGTCTGATGCACTTAATTTTTCTTTCTTGTTTTGGTTATTCAAAGTATTCAATTTAGGGTCAATGTTTAAAGCATGTTATTTTTCTAGGCTTTCTGACTACATACTGTATTTCTCTACAGGTGAGCAGTATATACACAAAATAATCTTGTTGTAGGATACTGGAGTCTCATCTCATTACTGATGAGGATAGTGATTCTCTTTAGATCCCCTACAATGGACAAAAATAGCGTGACACAGAGCATTTGGAGTCAATCCAGCCTTTTAAAGGATTTTTTATAAATTGGGTCAATTCCAGTTCGAGAAGCTCCTGAGGACTCGCATCCTTTTGAAACTGCTGATTTTCTCCTGCTTTCATTTACAAAAATATTTTCAAATCAGTGGTACCCCACCAAGCCCCAAATACTAAGCTGTGGAGAGGAAGGCATGTTTTTGCTGAAATGTTCTGTAGCTGCTGGAGTTTCTGGCTGGCTTTATCAGCTATTTGTAAAATATTACTAGCACTGAGTGTTTGTTGGAGTAGTCCTAATGATACTGTAGGCCAACTATGAATATTTCTGACTTCCATTTATTCTTTACAGAGTAGAAGAATGTGGCACAGTCATTGAAATATTAGAGGTCTACCGACCCTCATACAAGCATACGAGTACTCCCAGTGAAGCTCAGCAAGTTGATCTGTAGTGGGAAGTGTCAGTATAATGTGATAAACAGTTTGGTGATCATGTAAGAGCACCTTTCTTGTACTTTCACGGTCAAGAAGACTTTAAATAGATGTTTCTTGTGAGTGCACTTGGTAGCTTATTCGAGGCCTGCTTTTTGTTTAACATGTACACATCAGGTGCTGAAACCGCAGGCTAATGTCTGCCAATTTATATTTCAGGCTGCTGTGGAAGTGTCATCTTTGTTGCTAAACTAGAGAACATTGCTATGTGGAAGCATGTAAATTAGGATGATGTAATCCTCAGAGTCATTGTGGGCCATGTGTGATAACTGCGGTCCATGTCTAGAGATGCTGAAGTAGTTCTATGAATTGTAGACCTGTAAATAGGAGACAAAATGGGTCAGACTTCATGTGGAGATAAGATGTGGTTCTTGCAATACACAGAGGTCTGTAGAAATGATTTTAACCATATATGTGTTCTTGTATCCCTGAACTTGAGGCTGTTTTCATACCAAGCCAATGCCACCAACTTGAAGCAAGGGAGGCAGAATTTGATGTGAGGGGGAACCTTCTAAAGATATCCTTTTTTCTTTTTTCCCTTTATTCCCCAAGATCCTTAGTAAATCTCTTCACAGGAGTATTTATAATAGAACGAATCATTGCAAATGTATCGGTTTCATTAAAGGATTGGTGCTTTTTCTGTTATACTAAGACAACTATGCTGAGATAAGTAAAATGTTCAATTGTCCTGTCTTGTAGACCCCTAAGATCATTAACTCTTGCTAGAGAAATAAATCTTTTAAGAAGTGAATGACAGAAAAAGAAATGAATAGTTTAATTCCAGCAGTAATTAGTGTGTGGTGTACACAATTTAAAATACCCTGTAGTACGTGTTGGTGCATGTTGACATGCTGTATTGAAGAGCATGTATGGCACACTGCAGTGTCAAAAGCAGAGCAGAGATGTTTCCACAGGTGCCACAACTCAATTCCTCTCCTAACTCTCTCTTGTTTACCCTTTCCCCTACCAAAACCACACTGTTAATGTCAGACTTCAATGTTGCTATTACACATAATCATTATTGCACCTTATCATCTCTGTTTCTTTCATTAGTGGCCATGACTGTCTCACCACAAAGAGCGTTGGCCCTTAATGCATGGCAGTCTGGCAGTCGGCACGGTTTTCTGCATTCATGGTCCCCAAGAAAAATCAGAGAAGGTTTCTTCAGCTGTTTTTTGCTTCATTTGAGGTGACGGGTCCAGCCCTCCTATGGGCAGTAGGTATCATGCCACTCAGCTTGCAGAGCTGATGTGGCCAATGCACTCTAATGTAGTGTATGTTTCTGGGCTGAAAATGCCTAGGTCACTCCAACACTATTTTAAATAAAGGTGGAATGATTGTTGGTGTTGCTGAGGTAGGTAGTTAGGATAAATAGTGATGGTTTTCCATTTAGCAGAGTTCAGTGGAACTTACTGTGATCAGGGGCTAGGAATGCTTTCTGTTCTGCTGACAGATTTATGGTGTTATCAACACTTAATGAAGTGGTGAACAGTACTAAAAGACCTATGCATTGTCTATGCTTTTTTGCTGACAGAGAGTAGAACATTAAAGCTGATATTAGCAGCAAGTGATGCAGGTATCAGGTATATATTTTCTGAAATTAAGATTTTACTGTATAAAAAGCATGTTTACACTTTGGGTTGTTTGGGCTATTTTTAAAATATTTTTCCTTGCTATTTTGAATGCTAAATGATGTTTATTAAAAATTCCCTGTATTTTATTTACGAATCATTGATTTGTAAGTCATACAGGTTCTTTGCACTTGCCAATTAATATATTTCCTGTGTTTTACTAAACAAGAAAGAGGCTCAAGCCTTGTCCTTTTTATTGTAGTCTTTTAATTCTGTCTCACTTTCTTTGATGGCCCTCTCTTTCAATATTCAGAACATAACGATGGAACTCCATAATACTCAATTTGCTAACTGTCTGAAATATGTTATCACATTAGAAAGGGCTTTTGAAGGGTGAGAATGAGCCAACAGATAGTCACATTGTGTGCTCTGTGATGAAAGACACTTTGGAGGTCATTTTTTAAAGAGAAAATCAATCTTCAGCTCTG